GCAACAGGTTTCCAGAGGCCCAGACCGAGGAATACATTGCTGTCACGATGTTTGGCAGACGCCTGGAGGTCTGGCGAGGAGGAGGAGGAGGAGGAAGAGGAGGAGGAGGAGGAGGAGGAGGAGCGCAGATGACCGCTGGTCTGGTGAAAAACATCTGAGCCTGCCCTGAAACCAGGGAGGCAGGGGGAAGGCGGCTGCACTTCCCCTTTCACGAGTTGATCGAGGTAAGCGACCTCAGTGGGAGTCGCTTTCTTACATTCTTTATGAAGGTTCAGTGCACTGCGGGTGGCGTGAGCTCCGCACGTCACGCACATGAAATTCCCCTTGGAAGATTATTACGGGAATCATATTATGCTCACTATCTGGTAACTGCTGGGCTAATTTCGGGCGGGGCTTAGGAACAGGGGCCACAGCCTTCTTGGCCTGAGCTTTCTGGTTAGCCTTGGGGCGGGGTCGTGGGCCTCCTGGGATCTCCGAACAACGCGAGAGGAAACTCTCACAAGCCCGAATTCTCACTGCTCTAGTCAGGGACTCCGAAATCTGGACCGCCTCGGCAACCCCCACCTCAATCTGGATGCTCTTGGCGATCTCCTCCGCCAGCTTGTCAGAAAGCCCATGCCCAGCCCAAGCGAAGAGAAGCTCGCCTCTGGAGAGAGTCTCGGTCGGGCTCACATGGGACTCGATCTTGAGGACCGTGGTGAGCTTGTCTCGTAGAAGCCTCTGAACTCTACGCCAATCGTGTCGATATGATGTTGGCAACGTTACGCTGCGCATGCGACGAATCGGTGACGAACACTAAATGACAGCCCGATGGTGCACCTTCCAGGAATCTCAGGAAAGCCAACAACACTCATGGTTGAAAGTCTGAGCACCACACGTAGCACCAGTGGAAACCCAAGCAAGTGGTCCTGAGATCTGGACTGGGGCCACCGGTGTCGAAAGCCTTGGTGACCGTATAGGCCTAAGAAATTCGACGAAACCGTGCCTGGTCTGAATTTTTCCCGCTTGAACCATCTCTCGCTTTGACAATGTACTCAGCGCCGTCCGTCAAGGTGCTGCGCGAGTGCAAAAAGATGCCGGCCTCCTGTGCTGTCGCTGAGACTCTGGTCCACGCTGATGGTGTCAAGCCTCCCAGCCAGACTGACGGCTGTGAGTCGGTTTGGGTCCTTGCTCTGCCAGCATGCATTTCGCTGCTGGTGACCGAGGATCGTGAATTATTAGCTGAGCACTCCCAGACGCGGTGGAAGGTGCTCACAATGTGACCGCCGTCGCAGCGGTCCACTGACCCCCACAGCAAGCATTCATCAGAGCTCCTGCCCATCGATAGCTGCTCTTCGTCTCTAACTCGTTGAAGCTGTAGTCGAACGTTAATTAGATCAACTCCTGGCGCGCTCACGCGCAACATGGCTGGCTCAGTCACGAGCAGCAAGCTTGCGAGATTCAGGACCGTCGAATATGATCATAGGGGAACGAAGACTGAGCGCCGCCAGGGGGGTTCAGCGCGGATCCGAGAAATCCGCGCGGACCTCCGAGTTTTTATGTTTCTGTCATTCTTCGTTCCCCTAGATCACCACCATCCAGCTGGCGAACATCTGAAACGCTTGGAAGATTGCTGGGTCCTGATCGCCCAGCTCCAGCTGCAACAGCGCGTCCAAGCAACGCCCTCGGACAGAACTGGCGCACGCATTGGCTAGCGCTCTTCTCCAAGCTTGAGCTGCCGAAAGACTCATGCCATGCGCTGGCGCATCATGCTGCACCTTGGCCAGCATGTACGATGCATCACACGACGTGCTGCGCGACTACCTGCACGCCCAGCACCCCTGAGCTTACGAGCTCTGGCTACCCGCTGCCCTGCGGCGTGCCTTCTTGCTGCGGCGGTGGGTCGGCGTGCAGGTTCGCGCCCCTGTGTACGCCCAAGTCGACTGCCATGTGTGCGACCATGATTTTGATGTTGCGCTGCACCGGCTTGCGCGCAATAGATGTTACGCCAAAGACACGTCCCCTGCAATGATATTGCTCGTGCTTGCGATGCTCATGTGCGCCTTGTTGCAAAGCCTGCCCGCAAAGATCCCCACGTTGAGGGCCTAGCGCGTACTGCGTAAAATCACCGGCCCAAGACATAATAATCACTGTTGGGTGGTTTTGAGTTATGCATTGTTTCCAAAGTACTGTAGAGATAATCTGCCGAAGTCTATGCCTCAGCGTGCTCCTGCTATGATGCTCTGCCGAGCTTGGACTGGCAATGAGAGGCATCGCCCTTCTGGGAATATGCGAACCACCAGGTGGGACATGCCCTCCATCATAATCACAAGTGGAGCAAATTTCAGAGCCAAACCTTGTTCGAACAGCCTCTCGCAATCCGGGGATTCGTAGAAGCCGCCGATGTCCCAAAGAACGTTGGCAGAGACTGCGTGCGCACTGCCTCGTCAGTGAAAGACCGAACGATTGCAACTCTCATGCATGAGGACCCTCTCACTGCCTTGTCCCACTTGCCTGCCATTCCTTACGCGCACTTGGTATGGTTGACCAACTGTGGATAGCTCCAAGACGTATAAAATCTGCCAGCAATCCAATGGAACTATCAGTAGTGGCACCTTTCTTCATGAGAGCCACAATGGAGATCTGAACGTGCAAAGGCCATCCACCCTTAACTTCGCAACTGTTCAAACACGAGTCAACGCGAAATCCCAGCTGGAGGTGGGTACATCAAAGATCCACCAAGCTGCTCAACTCATGAAGCCTTCTTGGAATAGATCCGCTTCACTGCCAAGGCGACCTCGTAGTCTTGTAAGGCCGGCCACGGTTTACCTGCAAAGACTATACTTTCGATGGCCATATGTTCTGCCAGAGCTCGGACTTGTGCTCCATAATGTTCAGAAGGTTGGTAGCGTTGCCGCGCATGTCACAGTGCTCCGTCTCGGCGCGGGTCTTCGGCTTCACGCATTTGCGCAGTTCCCCACACTCTTGTTCGAAAGATTCTCGCGCCCAAGTTTGAAATTCAATGTGGGAATCTCGAGGCGCTTCCGCTCCAGAGTTTGCGCGATCAGCTCCGTTGATTTCCCCATCGTCTCAATAGCACGCTTCGGAATATTATGTATGTTGAACATGATCAACCCACGGACCCTGAAGGGATGTAGAAATGCAAAGCGTGGTATCGTTTCCCAGACGTCAAGGTTGGGCGAAGCGCAATTACAGTGCTCAGAGTAACGATCGTGATGGACCGTGCCACGGGCTGTGCTGTACTGCGCCGTGCTTTGCTGAGTTCAACGTGTCTCGCCGCGTTGAACCGTGACGCGCCCTATTGTATTGTGGATCAAGCCGTCCGTGGCGTCAGAATCGTAACCGAACTGATTCGGATCTTAAGCTCGAATTGCCTGAACGCATAGCTCGGGCTAGTTCCAGTCGAGACGCACGGCGCGCGCGACCAGCTCGAGCTCAAGATCCGATTCAGTTCCGAAGCCATCGCCCGAGATATTCAATTCCGCAACGGAGCGAACCGAGCGCGACCACGACAGGCGGGGGAGAAACATGCGGGGCGTTCCACCAGCTCGAACTCAAGATCCGATTCAATTTCAAAGTGGGACGAAACGATCAAGCGGCGAACCCAAGGCAGGCCGAAGATGTCGAGACGACGACAAGGCCCCCGCTCGACATCTCATCACACAATTGGAAACCAGCGTTCTGCTGTTCATGCTGTAGACGGGCATATGTTGCTTCTTGGGCGTGTCCATGAACTGCTTCACGTGTTCTGGCACGTCGCTGCTCACATTCTCGCTCGTAAGCGACAGCCTTCGCCAAAGCCTCATCAGTCTTGCGTGCAGCCACCGCGAGGCGTTGCGCTCCCGCTCCCGCTCCGCCTGAGGTCTGGTCGGTGCCTGCGCTTGGGCAGGAGGTGCCGCCGCGCGCTTGACAGCCGGGAGCTGCTCCGTGGTTGCTGGACAGCGACGCATGAAGGCCTCCGGCAGCTGGCCCGTGGCGGGCGCGAGCGGGTCGCCCTGCTCCTCTACCTCCTCCTTCTCCTCCACCTACGCCAGCTCCTCCCACTCCTCCTCCTCCTCCTCCTCCTCCTCCTCCTCCTCCTCCTACTACTACTACTACTACTACTACTACTACTGCTCCTCCTCCTCCTCCTCCTCCTCCTCCTCCTTCTGGGTGCCGTCGCGGTCGACGGCCATGGCGGACAAGCTGCGACGTGGCGTTGCGGGCGGCACTGCCCACCTGGCCTGGTGGCTGCTGACGAGGGGCCCCGGGCGGCGGTGTCGCCCTTACCTCCGCCGGGCCTTGCCTGTGAGGGCAGGAGGCCCCCTGGCCCGAGCTCCCTCGGCCTCGCGCCACGGAGGGAAGGTCGGCGCAGGCGTGAATCGGGCGTTGCTAGAAGTACCCCTGGCCCAAGGTACCCCCAGGATTCTCGGGGTGGCCCAGACGGCCTCCAGGGCACCCCTCACGAGGCCCAGAGGGCCCCAGGGGCTCCCAGATGGAGCGAAACGCTGGGGGTGCCTTGGGCCAGGGGCACTTCTAGCAACACCCGACTGAATGGACCTCCGCATCTCCAATATGAGTCACTTGCTGCTTCCAATTCCACTTCAACGGGCAGCCGTCATGAGCGCAAGGCACGTGGCCACGAGCATGCTGAGGTCTGCCCACGAGGGCGGCAGCCACCGGCCAGCGCGCAGCCCAGTCGTGGCAATGGATGTGCAACGAGGGGCGGACCTCGATGCACTCCGTCTGGGGTTGACCAGACGAGCGTCGAATTCAAACCGCAGACTAGGGGTATCCACTTGTCTCTTTGTGGAACTCATCATTTTGAGCCAAAAAGGCTGCGGATGAGGAGGAGGAGGAGGAGGAGGAGGAGGAGGAGGAGGAGGAAGAGGCATGGCGCGGTCGTCACATCTCGCGCCGCGCCCGTTTGGCCCAAGGGGTCGAGGATGGAGCGGGCATTCGCAGAAGGTGCTCGGTGCTCAACGTAGCACCCAGCAGGGAGGCCCGAAGGCAGCGCTCACATGCCCCGCCCTGTTGGGCGGGGGAGATCTGAGTTAGCATGTAGAGCCAGGAGTCGAGGAGGCGGAAACACGGATGAAGCCGCGTGGATTAGCGACGGGGCCCCGCTCCCGTGCAGCATCGGCGCGCCCCATCGCCAGGCCAAGGCGGTCTTGTTCACACGTCTCGGGGGGGTCTTTCCCCGATCCCTGGATGTGAGCGCCCGCGCGCCAGATCCTCGCATCCCTCGTCCATGTCCGAGCAGGGCTGGACCCAGACGGTGTTTTGTACGATTTCGTGGGCCGTTTTCGTTCCGACTTCGCTCTGCGGCAAAGGCGGATTCGAGACAGGAGCGAGGGACAACGGAGACAAAACGAAAACGGAAAGCACCGTTTAGGTTCAGCCCGGATTAGTAGGGCGACCTCGCCAAATCAAGGGTGTTCTTGTGTCTTGTGTCTCGCGACCCATGCCTCTTACATTCCTGTGGCGATGTGGCCCTCGGAAGGGTCTTGTGTCCTCTCGCGTGTCCTGTCCAACCAAGCCCGCCTGTAGGTTCAGCCCTCTGTCGGCGCGTGGCCGATCCTCCTCCTCCTCCTCCTCCTCCTCCTCCTCCTCCTCATCCTCCTCCTCCTCCTCTTCCTCTTCCTCATCCTCCTCCTCATCATCCTCCTTCTCATCCTCCTCCTCCTCATCCGTCTAATGTATGGTCTTATGGCGGGACCTGCGTCTGAGGGGCAACGCTAGGAGGGTTAGGTTCGGGGGGGACGCATCGACCCCCAATCGTCCATTGATCGCCGTTAGGGACCCGATAGCCGTTAGGAGGCCCAGAGAGCGAGGAGGAGGAGGACCAGGAGGGGAAAAGACACACGGGCACAATGAACCGTCGATTCCCCAGAGAATAGTGGAAAAGATGGGACGGGGGGGGGGAGGACACAGTCCCAGACAATGTGGGAAAATATAGGGGAATCCTGTTCTCTTTGGTCTATTTGTGTGTGTCCCAGGGCACCATGCAGAGGAGGAAGAACTGGAGAAGGCGAGGGCGGGCGCGAATGAGGGGTGACCTGAATGGGGGGGGGGGGGAAGGAAAGGGCACCGAGCGGGCACTGCCGGGCCCCTCCCTTCGGGGCCCCTGCTGGCCCCAAGGCCCTGAAGAGCCTCTTCAGGGCCCTCCCCACTCGAACGAAGGATTGCAAAAAACTTAGGATTGCAAGGGTTTTTTGCAATCCTTCGTTTTTTGCAATCCTTCGGTTTTTGCAATCCTTCGTTTTTTGCAATCCTTCGTTGCAATCCTTCCCTCGTTTAGGCCACCCGGCCACCCCCCCTAGCATCCGCCCGAGAGACCTCTCGATGCCCTTCTTGTCAGAGCGCCTGCGGCGAAGCACCGCCGCCCCCTCCTTTGGGGCAACGCCCCTGCGGCCAAATGTGGGCCGAAGTCTGGCCGAGCTAGCTCACAGAGGTCTTGATCGGGAATCGAGGGACGGGGTCAATGCAAACGGGGGTCAGCCAGAGCGCCGGCTGTTTCAGGATGTTTCAGGATCCTGCAGGGCCTGCCTGTCCCGGGTCTGGATTGACCCGGGTCAGAAGATCCCCGACGTGAGATGACCCCCCTGACAGGGGGTAGCTAATCTTCCCGGCGACCTTATTGAAGGACAGGGTTGCCACCAATTGCGGAAAAGAATCAATCATCCGCGGCACCCGCCGCACAACAACGACGGCGACGACGAGACGAAAGCGGAGAATGTGAGCAACGCGTTCGGCGAATAACGTGTCGATACATTGCATTCCTCTTTTCACACGTGCGCACAATTCCTTTGTCGTACACGGTTGCCCAGGGAACATACAACCCCCCAACATGATCCAGCCCGCCCAACAGTAGAAGGACAATATTGTCCGATGCGACGACGACGACGACGACGCTTACGACTGCGATTACGATTATTACCACGACGACGATTACGACTACAGCTGTTACAAGCGCGATTACGATCACGATCACAATCGCGGAAAAGCGTCTTCTGACGCAGTTGGGAGAATGGGGGTGTGGGGGTTCAGACCCCCCCCCACCTCTCCCCTCGGGAAGGGGAGGGGAGGGGGGTTCAAACCCACCCCCCCGTACCCCTCCAACCGACGGGACAACCATCGGGAAAACCATCGGGGAAACCGTCGGGACCATCACGGGACAAACCATCGGAACAGTTATCGGGACAACCACCAGGACAAGTGCTTATCATTTATATATATATATATATATATATATGTATTGGTCTCACTGTTTATCTAGCTATCCATCTCACTAAATCGATTGGCACCGATGTCGCCGAGCGCATTTATAAAATCATTAGAGAAAGGGGGGGGAAGGAGGAGTGAGGGGGTCAGGAGGGGGGAGGAGGGGAGGGGGAGGAGGGAGGAAGGGGGGGGAAGGAGGGAGGATGGATGAGGGAGAAGGGAGGGGGGAGGAAGAAGGACGAGGAGAATACGATAGAATTGTTGTTCGCCTCCCTGGCCCTGGTCATCGTCGTCATCATCGTCAATCTCGTCGTCGTCCTCGTCGTCGTCGTGGCACACTGGTTTTTTCGGTACACGCGGCGCTGCCACGTGACGGTTATTTCTGAATATGTTGTCTTCGCGCCTACAGGCGTTGCGACACGGCGAGTGAAGAGACACAGTGTTTGTTGTCGGCCCCCTCAAGGTTGCCACGTGCCGAACGGAGTGGAATAGTTGTTTTTGTTTTCCGGCCCCCGTGGCGCTGCCACGTGACGAAAAGAGTGGATGGAATACTGTTTCCTCGCGCCTTCAGTCGTTGGCATGTGGTGCGTGGAGTGGTTTTGTATTTGTTGTTGGCCCCCGCGGCGTTCGCACGTGATGAATCGTGGAATAGTATTTTGTCGGTCCCCGCCAGGCGGTGCCACGTGGCGAATAGAGTGGAATAGTATTTGTTCCGGCCCCCGCCGCGCTGCCACGTAACGAGTAGAGTGGCGTTGCCACGCGGCAGCCGCCCAATCAACCAGCCAACCAACCTACCTACTTGCCGACCAACCAGTCACTAGCCAACCAACCGGTCAACCGACGATCCTGTTGCGTTGCATGCATTGAACTACGTTGCATTTGCATTGCATTTGCAGTATACTGCGTTGTAGTAAATTGTGGGCGACGGGGAGGACAGGAGGGAGGAGAAGGGAGGAAGGTAGAGAGGAGGGGAGAAAGAAGGAAGAGCGAAGAGGGAGGAGGGGGGGAGGAGGGGATGGGGAGGAGTGAGGATGGGATAGGACGGAAGGATGAGGGAGGATGCAGGAGGGAGGAGGACAGGGGGAGGGAGAAGGACGAGGAGGAGGATAGGATAGAATTGTTGTTCGCCTTCCTGGCCCTCGTCATCGTTGTCATCATTATCATCGTCGTCGTCGTTCTCGTCGTCGTCCTCGTCGCCGTCCTCGTGGCATAATGTTTGTCTCGGCTCCCGTGGCGCTGCCACGTGACGACTATAATGGAATACGATTTCGTCGCGCCTACATGCGTTGCCACGTGGCGAGTGGACTGGCATGGTATTGTTTTCGGCCCCCGCGGCGTTACCACGTGACGAATGGAGTGGAATTGTTTGTTGCTTCGGTCCCCGCGGCGCTGCCACGTGACAAGTAGAGTGGACGGAGTACTGTTTCGTCGCGCCTCCAGGCTGCCACGTGGCAAGTGGAGTTGGTACTTTTTCGGCCCCAAGCGGCCGTGCCACGGAACGAATGTTGTGGAATAGTATGTTTGTTCGCCCCCCCAGGCGGTGCGGAATTTTTTTTTGTCAACCCGGCGGCGCTGCGACGTGACGAGTAGAGCGGAATAGTATGTTGTCGCCCGCCATTTGGCGCAATATCCCACATACTCCACATATTCCGCCTCCTGTTGGGGCGCCAGTACGCACATATATAATCCGCCTACTGTTGGGGCGCCAGGACGCACATATTTCGTTCTTTCTGTTCAGGATGGCGAATACGCGTATGGTGAAAACTCCAGCGGGAAAGCTCGTGAATGGAACTGACCCGTGGATTTCTTCGGGTTCATCTGGTTCAGAGTTTGTGAGGGGAGAGAGGCCTGTTTTGAGCACACCCGACCGACGTCCTGATAAGAGCGCTCGCCTCACCAGTCCGTTGCAGGAGATGGACCATGACGTGGAGGTAGCGGGGATGGGCGTTGCGCTCGCGGGGCGAGCAGGAAGCGAGGGCGAGATGGGGAGGCAGGAAGGCATCACGATGGAGCCGATGACGCAGATGTTTAAACAGCACCTTCGCCCAATTCAGGCGGACATCGAGGCTATCAAGGCGCATGGCATCTCCAGGCAGGACATTCAGAGCGCGGTAAACCCAGTGAATGGGGCGGTTCGGGTCCTGTCTGCCAGAGTCGTTGCTTTGGAGCAGAGGGGTGGGTCATTAACCCCATCGCAGAGGAGTGTTTCATACGAGACAGAGATAAACAAGCAGATGGCCGAGCTCGAGGAGAAGTTCGCAAACCTGGGGTCACAACCCAACGGAACAGACACAGTGGCGGCCATTGGGGGATTGACATGGGCAGTTTCGAAAGATGGCGCGATGACGGAGGATTTTGGGTGGCGCGGCAGCTCGAGCACATCGAAGCGCCAGCGCCGCTCGAGACATCCGTCAATGGCGACTTCACAGGCATATGGTTCGCACGGTCTGCATCCCAAGCAGAGCGTTATACGGTTGCGTCCAGAGTGCGAGGTGCAAAGTTCGAGTGGCAGGGGCGGGGGCGATGCGGGTTAAGCCGGACTTGCCGCTGAAGGCGCGCATCCCTAATTCGATAAGCTTCGCTGCGAAGCGCCCCTTGCCGAATGGTACAGCAAATCTGCTCTGCGGGCAAATCCTGAAACGAACGCCTTGAAGCTAGCCGGCGGCCTCGCGATGAAGGTGAGCACCGACAACGACGACATCCGCATCTGTTTCGAGCAGGGTTGGGAGGAACATTTCCAGAAGGCAGAGTGGACGGACTTAGTAAAAGAGCTCACGGAAAAGATCCATCGCGGCATCGGCAAGGGAGTGGGCAAAGGAAAGCTCGGGCATTAGAGGTCACCCCGCACGGCTACATGTTTCACCGCCGACCCTGCACATAATTCATTTACATGCTTCAAGGCTTTCCGCAAGAATGCAAGAACCAATTCTCCGACAGGACTGTTGAATTTGCTTGCC